GATCTCGACTCACCGCAACCTCCGCCTCCTGGGTTCAGGCAATTCTCCTGCCTCAGCCTCCCAAGTAGCTGGGATTACAGGCACGCGCCACCCTGCCCAGCTAATTTTTTGCATTTTTAGTAGAGATGGGGTTTCACCGTGTTGACCAGGATGGTCTCGATCTGTTGACCTCGTGATCCACCCGCCTCGGCCTCCCAAAGTGCTGGGATTACAGGCGTGAGCCACCGCGCCCGGCCTCCCAGAGTGCTGGGATTACAGGCGTGAGCCACCGCGCCCGGCCCCAAGTTCTTTAATCACTATGATCACACACTACATTTCTCTGTCAGGCAATAAGATGTTCAGAACAGAATGCAATATTTTAGACTGAGTTTCACTTTGGGTGCCGTGGCTCACGTCTGTAATCCCAGCACTTTGGGAGGCCAAGGTGGATGGACCATGTGAGGTCAGGAGTTTGAGACCATCCTGGCCAACGTGGCAAAACCTCATCTCTACTAAAAATACAAAAATTAGCCGGGCATGGTGGTGCGTGCCTGTAGTTCCAGCTACTTGGGAGGCTGAGGCAGGAGAATCGCTTGAACCTGGGTGACAGAGGTTACCGTGAGCTGAGATGGTGCCACTGCACTCCAGCCCAGGCCACACAGTGAGACTCTATCTCAAAAAGTAAAACGTTTCAACTGAGCTATTTCACATGAAAGCAAAGCACTAGATTCATGAAACACACTGAGTTCCTCCATATACCTGTAACCACAGCCACAGCAGTGCTGTGCTGAGTGTTAGGTACACAGAGATAAAGGGCCTGGCTATCAGCCTCAAGGAACTTAGAGTCGAATGGTTGTAATGCGTATATTTTGAACCCTTAAATGGATGTCTCAAATGTTGAATCAGAGCTCTGTAATTAACAATCATTAGGCACCTTAGCTTTGCACAGTGGCTTTAGAACTGTTCGGGAGTTATCAATTTAAGAGAGAAAAGAGGGCAAATAGAAGCACACATGGATAGCATGTGCATAGCTATGTTTTCAGTGATTAGGGAGACTGGGAAAATCAGACTGTACTCCCAGAGGGGCTGAGGAGATTGTCACGGATGAGTGGGACTGAGTGAGAAGCTTTCCTGTAGGAAGTGGGGCTGCCTTAGTGTAGCAAAACTTTCCATGAATTCTGAGCCTGTTATCTCTTGCCTGTCTTTGGGGAGAACTGCTTCATTTGTTGATTGAGTTATTGAAATTTAATTTTATTTCTAATTGAGGGGGTACATGGGCATGCTTGTTACATGGGTATATTGTATGCTGGCCTTCTAGTGTACCATTACGCAGAGAGTGAATATTGATTGCACCTGATGGAATTTTTCAAGCCTTGCTCCCTTCAAGTACCTGCCCACCCCTTTTGGAGGCCCCAGTGTCTGCTGTTTCTGTCTTTATGTCCATGTCTACTCATCCCTTAGGCTCCACTTACAAGTGAGAACATGTGGTTTTGATTTTCTGTCTCTTAGTTCCTTAGAATAATGGCTTCCAGCTCCATCCATGTCGAAAAGGACATGATCTCATTCTTCTTTTTTTTCTGTGAGATGGAGTCTCACTCTGTTGCCCAGGCTGGAGTGCAGCAGTGTGATCTCGGCTTGCTGCAACCTCCACCTCCGGGTTCAAGTGATTCTGCCTCAGCCTCTAGAGTAGCTGGGACTACAGTCATGCACCACCATGCCCAGTTAATTTTGTTTGTATTTTTAGTAGAGGTGGAGTTTCTCCATGTTGGTCAGACTGGTCTCAAAGTCTCGACCTCAGGTGATCCACCTGCCTCAGCCTCCCAAAGTGCTGTACAGGCATGAGCCACAGTGCCCTGCCAATCTCATTCTTTTTTACAGCTGCCTTTTTTTTTTTTTTTTTTTAAGAAACAGTCTCACTCTGTTGATCAGGATGAAGTACAGTGGCACGATCATAGCTCACTGCAGCCTCGAATTCCTGAGCTCAAGAGATCCTCCCACCTCAGCCCCCTGTGTAGCTGGGATGACAGTGGCACACCACAAATGGCTAATTAAGAAAAAATGTGTAGAGATGGGGCCTCTCTCTGTTGCCCAGGCTGGTCTCAACAAGCAGTCCTCCTGCTTTGGCCCCCCAAAGTGCTAGGATTACAGGTGTGATCCCCTGCACCCAGTCAAGAACTGCAGAGTCCCGGGCATGATCTCCTTGAGAAGGAAGTTTGATGTCTCTGGCCTGCTTTCCTGCTTTCCTGCCTTCCTGCCTTCCTGCCTTAGTGCTTTGGAGCCTCTCATACTTTTGAGACTTTGTTTCACTTTCTGCCAGTGTTGGCAGCACCTCTCAATTTAGCTCATCCCTGCGTTGCTTTTTATTCCTCCTTAAAGAACATTAAGATGGGAGCTAAGGCCAGAGCCAGTGCTGGCCTCAGGCCTCCCTTCCTGGGGACTGAGGGCCACTTGTCACAATGTGTGGCCTAGAGCCTTTGGCTGCATTTTCAATCTGTGCACCTGTGTTCTTCTGGGAGCTGAGATCTGCTAAGATCCACTACAGTGAAAGTTTTATCCAGGTAAACATCTCTCACCTCTTTGGGGGCCTTTTCATCTGTCGAATAAGTGAAACTGTCCAGAGGTAATCAAGTATGCAAGGCGCAGCTGCTGCTTCTGTCTAGGACCTGGCTATTCCTTGCTCCTCATTCTCCTGAACCATCAGTGGGATTTTTTCTTCTTTCTCTTAGGACACGTTCACAGTCCGTGCAGGCAGTGAAGCTGGACGTACGAGAGCACAGCTGAACCAAGGCTGTGGGCGCTTCCTTTACCCCTTCTCCACCTGTTCTGGCCCTCTCAGAGCATTGAGGCCCCTGGTTTTTATCCCTGCTTCTTTAGTTGCCTGAGATGCAGTCTTCATTGGGAGGGGCTTGAAAAGAACTCAGGAGCAGGAGCTTGGTGCACAGTAGGCATCTAACAATGATTGATCTTCGGCTCTCTGCAGCCCTGCGCGTGGCATTGCACCCTGCAGCCTGCCGTGATGCAGTGAGATGAGCCGGCTAGTGCCACCTCAGGGGATTCTCTGGGCAAATCATTCTCCTGGGACTGGGTCCTCATCCTTCCTGTGGGAGAGAGGAGGCTGCCTCCCTCACAGGTGGCTGTGTGGAATTATCAACAATCAAGTGACTGCTTGGCATATGGCTGAATGTCAAGGGCGACAGAAATGCTTAATTTCATTTATCTAGTAGTAGTTGGGTGGCCACGTGAATGTTGCTGTGGAAACCATAACTCTGGAATTCCTTGACACTTATCTTTGCTGTTGTTTTTAAATGAGGCTTTACATTTAAATCTTTTTTTTTTTTTTTTTTAAATATTAGAAAGGTAGTAGGAAGGATCACAGCTTGAGCTCCATCTTAGCCTTTTTTTTTTTGAGACAGGATTTCGTTCTTGTTGCCCAGGCTGGAGTGCAATGGCGCAATCTTGGCTCACTGCAACCTCTGCCTCCTGGGTTCAAGCAATTCTCCTGCCTCAGCCACCCAAGTAGCTGGGATTACAGGCACGCACCACCATGCCCAGCTAATTTTGTATTTTTAGTGGAGATGGGGTTTCTCCATGTTGGTCAGGCTGGTCTTGAACTCCTAACCACAGGTGATCTGCCCGCCTCAGCCTCCCAAAGTGCTGGGATTACAGGCATGAGCCACTGTGCCAGGCCCATCTTAGCCTTTTTATAGGAAACCGTGAGCTGCTACTGCCCTCACCCAGGAGCTTCTACTTTCCAGTTACTCTCACCTGACCCCTCTCTTTCTTCCCCCCAAGGTTATATGTCTTCCATCTGTCCATCCACCCATCCACCTGTCTGCCCATCCATCCCATTCCAACCATCCATCCCATCCATCCATCCCATCTATCCCATTCCAACCATCTATCCCATCCATCCATCTACCCATCCATCTGTCCCATCCATCCATTTATCTACTCATCCATCCTTCTATCCCATCTATCCATCCATCCCATCCATCCACCCATCTACCCATCCATCCATCCACCCATCCATCCACCCATCCATCCCATCCATTCATCTACCCATCCATCCATCCCATCCATCCATCCGCCCATCCACCCACCCATCCATCCATCCATCCATCCATTCCATCCATCCCTCCACCCATCCATCCCATCCATCCATCTATCCCATCCACCCATCCATTCATCCCATCCATCCATCCGCCCATCCACCCACCCATCCATCCCGTCCATCTATCCATCCCATCCATCCCTCCACCCATCCATCCATCCATCCCATCCATCTCATCCATCCATCCATCCCATCCATCCATCCATCCATCTCATCCATCCATCCATCCAACCCTCTCATCCATCCAACCCTCTCATCCATCCATCCTTCCATCCCATCCATCCATCTATCCCATCCATCCATCCATCCATCATCCAGATACACTGCATTTCCAACTCATGAGCTGAATGGACCCTATGTGAGGAGATCAGAACTGCTGATTTTCTAGTGAGCATTTAGAATTGAGAGAACTTCCTTGTTTGATGGAGACATGATGGCGGATCCTGGTGAAATTAAGGGGGAGGTGGCAAAGGGAGCATTTGCACCAGTGATAGCAATTCTCTGCTGGTCCCCAGCCTCAGGCAGCACACAGCTGTGAGATGACAGTCAAGGGTAGGGGACAATAACAGCACTGCTTAGAAAAATGGGTCTTGATTCCAAGCCCTCATTGGAGGAAACCTGGAATCCCACACCCCAGCAAGTGCCTCCCTCCCCTGAGCAGGTCCTCAGGTGGCTTCCGTAGTCTCCAGCATGGTCTTTGAAGCTCTTCTCTGGGCTGTGTGCACTTCTCTGCCCACCACCTTCACAGCTGACTCTGGCGGCCATCACTCCCACAGCTGCTCCCAGTCCTCCTGAACCTACTGTGGCTCATATGGCTTAGGCGTAGACAGCCCACGCCCCACTCCTAGCCACAGCGACCTTGCTCTGGCAGTTCCTTACAGAGTTCTTAATATCACAACTTTTTGTTTTTAAAAATGAAGCACACTCTCAGTTCATTTTCTTTAATGGCTCTTGTATTCCCAGCAGCAATCAGCCAGTGTCTTTTGATGATCTTCCCAGTGCTGGGGTTCCCTCTCCCAAGACGACATGAAGCAACACCCCATGGGTACTCCGGCTGGACATGCTGGGATTCCTGAAGGGGGCACACAGGTTACCTCTCTCGCTGGGACTTTTGCTTCAGAGGGAAAAGACAATTGGGTTACTGTGGCAATATCTTTTTTTTTTTATGTATTAAAAAAAATTTAAGTTCTGGGATAGACGTGCAGAACATGCAGGTTTGTTACATAGGTATATATGTGCCATGGTGGTTTGCTCCTCCTATCAACCTGTCATCTGGGTTTTAAGCCCCACATATATTAGGTATTTGTCTTAATGCTTTCCCTCCTCTTGCCCCCCACCCGCCCACAGGCCCTGGTGTGTGACGTTACCCTCTCTGTCTCCACGTGTTCTCATTGTTCAACTCCCACTTATAAGTGAGGACATATGGTGTTTGGTTTTCTGTTCCTGTGTCAGTTTGCTGAGAATGATCCAGCTTCATCCATGTCCCTACAGAGGACATGAACTCATTCTTTTTTATGGCTGCATAGTATTTGATAGTGTATTGTGTCCATCTCTTTTCTTTTCTTTTTGTGATGGAGTCTGGCTCTGTTGCCCAGGCTGGAGTGCAGTGGCGTGATCTCGGTTTGTGATGGAGTCTGGCTCTGTTGCCCAGGCTGGAGTGCAGTGGCGTGATCTCGGCTCACTGCAACCTCCATCTCCCAGGTTCAATCAATTCTCTGCCTCAGCCTCCTGAGTAGCTGGGATTACAGGCACCCACCACCACGACCAGCTAATTTTTGTATTTTTAGTAGAGACGGGGTTTCACCACGTTGACCAGGCTGGTCTTAAACTCCTGGCTCATGATCCACCTGTCTTGGCCTCCCAGAGTGCAGGCTGGTCTTAAACTCCTGGCCTCGTGATCCACCTGTCTTGGGCCCCCCAGAGTGCTGGGATTACAGGTGTGAGGCACTGGCACTTGCTTTTTTTTGAGACGGAGTCTCACTCCGTCACTAGGCTGAAGTGCAGTGGCACGATCTCTGATTACTGCAACCTTCACCTCCCAGTTTCAAGTGATTCTCCTGCCTCAGCCTCCCGAGTAGCTGGGACTACAGGTGCCCATCACTATGCCCAGCTAATTTTTTGTAGAGATAGGGTTTTACCTTGTTGGCCAGGACGGTCTTGAACTCCTGACCTCGTGATCTGCCTACCTTGGCCTTCCAAAGTGCTGGGATTACAGGTATGAGCCACCATGCCTGGCCTTGTGTCCATCTCTTTTCTAAATAAAATGTATCATCTTGGTCCCACTTTTCTTGTTTTTGGAAATGCTATTTCATCTCTGTTGCTTAGCTCATCACTTCCCTGAAAATCATTCTGACACTCTCTGTGCATAAGTTTAGTCTTCCAGCCCAGGCTGGAAGTGCCAACAGCTCTGAAAGGGATCCCTAATTCCCATCCCCTCCTTTACCTCTCCCCTCACTTCCTAAAAACAGCATTATCAACATACGTTACATATGATAAAACCCGCCCTATTCAAGTGCACAGTTCAGTATTTTTTGGTAAATTTACTGAGTGGTGCAGCCTTTGCCATAAATCAGTTTCAGAACATTTTCATCATCCCAGTGAAGAAACCTCATGTACAATCAGTCCCTGTTCCTGTCCCCCGTTCTAGGCAACCACTAAGCTACTGTCTGTCTCTACAGATTTGCCTTCTGAAAATTTCACGTCGATGAAATCATACAATATATCATCTCTCATGCCTGGTCTCTTTCACTTGGCATAGGGCTCTCGGGATTCATTTGAGTTGTGGCATGTATCGTACTTCATTCCTTTCTGTTGCCCAGTAATACTCCATCGTGTGGATATAGCACATTCTGTCTATTCACACGTCAGCTGAGGGACGTTTCTGCACGTTTTGGCTATTTATAAATAATGCCACGATGAACTTTTGTGTGCTGATCTTTGTGTGAATGTGAATGTATGTTTTCATTTCTCTTGGGATAGATACTTAGGAATGAAGCTGATGGGCAGTACGGTGATTTTATATTTAACTTTTTGAGAAACTGCCAAACTGTTTTCTCACACAGCTGCACATTGCTACGTTCCACAGCAACGCATGAGGGCCACCATTTCTCCACCTCCCCAGCAGCCTTGTGCTGCCTGTCTTCTCGACTGTAGTCATTCTAGTGGGTATGAAGTGGTGTCCTTGTTTTTTTTTTTTTGATAGGGAGTCTTACTCTTGTTGCCCAGGCTGGAGAGAAATGGCGTGATCTTGGCTCACTGCAGCCTCTGCCTCCCGAGTTCAAGTGATTCTCCTGCCTCAGCCTCCTGAGTAGCTGGGATTACAAGCATGCACCACCACGTCCGGCTAATTTTTTTGTATTTTTAGTAGAGACAGGGTTTCACCATGTTGGCCAGGATGGTCTCAAGCTCCTGACCTCGTGATCTGCCAGCCTTGGTCTTCCAAAGGGCTGGGATTACAGGCGTGAGTCACCTCACTTGGTCTGGTTTTTTAAAATTTCATTTCTCTAATGACTAATGATGTGGAGCCGTGTTTCATGTGCCCTTTTGCCACACACACAGCTTCTTTGATGACATATCTGTCCATGTCTCACCTATTTTTGATTAGGTTATTTTCTAATTATAGAATTGTAAGGCCCTCTCGCCCCATCCTTTTTTTTTTTTGACAGGGTCTCACTCTCTTGTCCAGGCTGGAGTACAGTGGTGCAGCATGGGTCACTGCAGCCTGGACCTCCTGGGCTCAAGTGATCCTCCCACCTCAACCTCCCAAGTAGTTGGGACTACAGGTGCACACCACCACACCTGGCTAAGTTGTTAGTTTTGTTGAGACAGGGTTCTCACTGTGTTCTCCAGGCTGGTCTCGACCTCCTGGGCTCAAGCAATTCTCCGGCCTGTAATCTGAGTGCTGTTTTAAAAATTTTAAATAAAAATGTTTCTGGCTTCCTCACAAGAGAATGATATGCTAGCCTAGTTTTCTCATAAATTCATTGGAACAGTCATCAATCATATAGGTAGTTCTTTTAACCTTTATTTTTGGTTTGGGGTACATGCGCAGGTTATGCAGGTGAACTTGTGTCACTAGGGTTTGTTGTAAGTACTCAGCCTAGCACCCAGTAGCCATTCTTTCTGACCTTCTCCCTCCTCCAATCCTCCACACTAGGGTTTGTTGTAGGTACTCAGCCTAGCACCCAGTAGCCATTCTTTCTGACCTTCTCCCTCCTCCAATCCTCCACACTAGGGTTTGTTGTAGGTACTCAGCCTAGCACCTAGTAGCCATTCTTTCTGACCTTCTCCCTCCTCCAATCCTCCACACTAGGGTTTGTTGTAGGTACTCAGCCTAGCACCTAGTAGCCATTCTTTCTGACCTTCTCCCTCCTCCAATCCTCCACCCTCCTCTAGGTCCAGTTTTATTTTATTCAAAGTCCTGGACTCTCACAGCCTTTCACCTCTTCGAGCACCACCTGCCACCCACATCTTCCACCTCAGTCCTAAGTGGTGTGTGGTTCCCTCTTGGGACCAAGGAAGGGTTTGTGTTTTTCCCCAGCACTCTCCCTGGCTTTGCCGTTGAAAAAAGAGAGAGAGAGAGAGAGAGAGTTTCTGTCTGTTGCTCAGGGAGCACAGTGGTGCAAACGTAGCTCACCGTAGCCTTGAACTCCTGGCTCCCTCTCGCTGTGTTGCCCAGGCTGGAGTGCAGTGGCACGATCTCGGCTCACTGCAACCTCCGCCTCTGTGGGTCAAGTGATTCTCCTGCCTCAGCCTCCCAAGTAGCTGGGACTACAGATGCATGACACCACACCTGGCTAGTTTTTGTATTTCTAGTGGAGATAGAGTTTCACCATGTTGGCCAGGCTGGAATCCAACCCCTGACCTCAAGTGATCCTCCTGCCTTGGCCTCCCACAGTGCTGGGATGACAGGTGTGAGACACCACGCCCAGCCTGCTTTTCTGTATCCTGGCTTTGGCTAGGCCTGCAGCTGTGTGTGTGTGTGTGTGTGTGTGTGTGTGTGTCTGTCTGTCTGGATGCTTTGTGGGCACACACACCCTTCACCCTCTGGCTCCTTATGATTCCTTTCTGACAAATTGAAACTTGCTTTAATTTCCTTTTAAAGATTACAGTAACACTAAATTTGTCTTAGAAAACAGAATTAGAGGCTGGTCACGGTAGCTGATGCCCGTAATCCCAGCACCTTGGTAGGCTGAGGTGGGAGGGGGATCACTGGAGACTGTGTTTCAGACTCTCCTGGGCAACATAGCAAGATGCTGTCTGTATTAAACATAAAACATTAGCCAGGCATGGTGGTGGTGCCTGTACTCTGGCAATTACGGGTTGCCAGCTGCTTGGGAGGCTGAAGCAGGAGGATCCCTTGAGCCCAGGAGTTCAAGGATATAGAGAGCTATGATTGTGCCACTGCACTCCAGCCTGGGCAACAGAGCAAAATCCTGTCTCAAAAAAAAGAAAAAAGTAAAAAGAAAACAGAACTAGCAACTCTCCCAAAGAATTGTTATGCTTTTAATATTTTGGTGTTAAAGTCTGATCTTTTTTTCCTGATACATATATAATTTTGTTTTGGTTTTACTGAATTATTATATTGCATATACTTTATCTTTGTGCGTAACATGAATATATAATCAATTTCTCTGCATTCCATTGTTCTTTTATGAGCATTTGTAAGGGCTGCAGGGTATTCCACTGTCCGACTAGACTGTACCTTGTTTATTTATTTAAGAAATGGGGTCTCACTGTGTTGGCCAGACTGGAGTGCAGTGGCGCAATCACAGCTCACTGCAGCCTCAAACTCCTGGGTTCAAAACCTCCTCCAGCCTCAGCCTCCTGAGTAGCTGGGACCACAAGTGTGTGCCCCTGTGCCTGCCTTAGACTGTGAGTTATTAAACCCATCCCCACCGTGGTGTGTGTCGGCTGTTTTCCCCTCTTCGCTATTACAAACAGTGCTACACTGGATGCCGCGATTCCTTTTCAAAGCAGGTGCCGCACAGCCCCAGGGTGTGAGCCTCCGGAGTCCAAGGTCAGCGAGCTGAGCACACCTGATCCTCCTCACTCTTTTTATTCTTCTTAAAGTCTTTTTAGGTCTTTTAAAAGTCTTTCTCCCCCAACTGCAAAACAAAATAAAATTAACAACCAAAAAATAATTTATCACTCTGACTACACAAATTTGGTTCATACCCTTTCTCTCTCTAGTAGACCTTATCATCTGAACTGTCAATTTCAGACTGAAATCAAGGCTTGGAATTTAGCACGAAAGGAATTTATAATGATTGAAATAGTTCAAGAGTAGACACCCTTTGTCAGTTTGCAGGTAACAACCCACTTGTTATACCAGAGTAATGACCGAACACACAGACTCACGCTGTCAGCTTGCTGTTGACTCTCTGGTGGCCGCCACATGATCACATGGTCCTCAGAACACCAGAAGATCATATGCAAATATTGTCTGCATATTCATCAAGATACCACATGGCCAGTGTAACCTGTTTTAATTATCCTTCAAGGAGAAACGCAGCCTCCTCTAGCACATGCAATCTGCTGGCTCTGTCGGCATGTTGGTGCCTGAACTGATATGGAAATTATTTCAAAAGCAAAATATTAAAGAGAAGTGAAATCTGCTATATTGTGCATTCAGCTTAGCAATTAGAAGTTGCAGCCTTTTTTTTTTTTTTTGAAACAGTTTCACTGTGTCACCCAGGCTGGAGTTCAGTGATGCAATCTTGGCTCACTGTAACCTCTGCCTCCTGGGTTCAAGTGATCCTCGCCTCAGCCTCCCAAGTACCTGGGACTAGAGGCATGTGCCACCACACCCAGCTTTTTTTTTTTTTTTTGTATTTTTTGTAAAGTTGAGGTCTCATTATATTGCCTAGGCTGGTCTTGAACCCCTGGGCTCAAGCAGTCCACCTGCCTTGGCCTCCCAAAGTGCTGGGATTACAGGTATGAGCTACCGCACCTGGCTGGTTTTTTTTATTTCTGATTTATACTTTCAGGCTTTCAAAAATACAATGACATAATATATTTTAGCTATAAAATTTATGAGTGATTCATTGCTGAGGTATAAATAATGGGAAAGCTAAGCTGCATTCTCTGAAATATAAAAGTCCCATGAGGCATTCCCAAAGGAGTTATGTCCATTTAATAATTTAAGCAACAAGGAGTATGGAATAAGAATTTCACTCTTAGCCACGTAATGGACTTTAGCTTCCTTTGCACTTTGAACTCATGGATACACCAGAAAGATATGTTTTTCACCTAGGGACATCAATGGAATCAATAAACTGATGTTCATAGATGCTCTTGGCAGCTGGGTATGGTGGCGCATGCCTGGAATCCCAGCACTTTGGAATGCCAAGGAGGGCTGATCACTTGAGGTCAGGAGTTCAAGACCAGCCTGGACAACATGGTGAAACCCCGTCTCTACTAAAAATAAAAAAAATTAGCCAGGCGTGGTGGTGCGTGCCTGTAGTCCCAGCTACTGAGGAGACTGAGGCACAAGAATCGCTTGAACTTGGGAGGTGGAGGTTGCAGTAAGCTGAGATCTTGCCACTGCACTGCAGCCTGGCAGCAGAGTGAGACTCCATCTCAAAAAAGAAAGAAAGAAAGAAAGCAAGAAAGGAAAGCTCTTGGCTTTTATAAACCACTATATAATTCTTTCATGAGTGTCTTTTTTGAAGTAATACTGTTAACATCCTCAAATGTGAAGAAGAAATACATGTATATTTATAATCTATATCATTTATCTATGAGTAAAGGTTTCAGTTGCAAACATTGAAATTCCTCAGTCTAATAGAAAATAAAATGATAGCTACAGGCTGCTAACTCCCAGAAAGAAAATTCCAAAAGCCCAAGGTAGATTTGAAAAAGCCATCATTAAAACTAGAATTAGGGCCGGGTGTGGTGGCTCAAGCCTGTAATCCCAGCACTTTGGGAGGCCGAGGCGGGTGGATCATGAGGTCATGAGATCGAGACCATCCTGGTCAACATGGTGAAACCCCGTCTCTACTAAAAATACAAAAAATTAGCTGAGCATGGTGGCGCGTGCCTGTAATCCCAGCTACTCAGGAAACTGAGGCAGGAGAATTGCCTGAACCCAGGAGGTGGAGGTTGCGGTGAGCCGAGATCACACCATTGCACTCCAGCCTGGGTAACAAGAGTGAAACTCCGTCTCAAAAAAACAAACAAACAAACAAACAAAAAACCTAGAATGAGGGAGTAGCTTATGTACAACATTGAATTTCACAGAGAAAACTCACAAACTGGACAACAGTGACAGACCTATTTAAGGGCTCTGAAGAATGACCAGAGGCAGGCGGAGACTGGAAGGGGCCCGAAGATCTAATTCTTAAAATCAGGGTTGTACGGCCCTTCTTCCAGTCTGCTGAGCGCCGGGGCTAGATCACGAGAAGGCCAGTTGCACGGGTTTGAGGCATTTCATGGTGAAGCTGAGGGCTGTCAGAGTAGCTGGAGAGGGGGAAGAAGAATCCACGGAAGGAGAGAACCACAAGGAGGCAGCCCTGAAATTCACTCAAATTCCCCTAAAATCCAGCTGATAGATTTGAACTTGGAACATACAGAAAGCAGCAGCTGCATGTTGAAAGAGTCGAGCAGAGATTTCAGCTGTGGTCAAGTACACGGGAGCAGAACGTGGTGTCTGAGGGACTGGCAAAGCGGTCAGGCTTTCCACTGAAAATGCTAAAGGGCCATGCCTCACGGGTGAAGAACAATCCCAGGACAAAGGGATTCTTCTTGGATCTGAGGGTGAAAACGAGTTAGAACCACTCAAAGCAAGCCTAACACCAAGCTCCTCAAATTCACGGTGACCCATCAGTAACTTAACTGCCCGCTAGAACAAAAATCAGTACTCCTCAAGGAAGAGAGCAGAATCTAGCATCTCCATGATGTAGCATCCACAATATTCAATATATAGTTAAAATTTATTGAATATAAAAAGAAACAGGAAAATGAAATTCAGAGTCAGTAGAAAAATCAGTTAATAGAAAGTGGCCCTCAGATGAATCAGAAGTTGAAATTCAGACAAGAACTTTAAATAAGGTACTATAACTATGTTCAAGGATTTAAAGGGGGAAAAGAGAAATGGAAATGTGCACACAGGTACACACACAATATTTGGACCAACTGCATTAGCTTAACAGCAGGTTGGAGGCAGCTGAAGCAAAGGTTAGTGAGCTTAATAAAGAGCAGTGAAAATTAGTCTATAAAGAGGGAAAAATGAAAGTAACGAACATAGTTTCAATAACCTGAAAACAATATCAAGCACTGTAATTACAGACCTGTAATTGGTGTCCCAGGAGAGGAAAAAGAAGAACAGAGCAGAAAAAATAGATTTGAATGAGTAGTGGCTGAAAATCCCCCAAATTTGGTTAAAAAAAAATTACAGATCAATTTATAGGTCCTAGAAATTCACCAAACCCTAAGCAGGATAAATATAAAAAACAACACATTGAGGAATATTATAGTCAAATTACTATAAACTTGGCCCTAAAGGAAAAAATTAAAGAGTCCCAGAAATGATACAACTGGGTAGATATCAAAAACCTAAAATGTTCTAGTTTCACTGAAAGCAGATTGCTTAAAGTAAAACTGATAAGATTGTATTGTGGGTTTATAATGCATGTAGGTGTAACATATATCAAATTAGTGGCACAGAAGAGGAAGGAAAGATGGAGTGGCTCCAAGTGTACATTTCAGGTGAAGTGGCACAATGGCGAGTCCAAGCAGCTTATGAAACGTTAGAGATTCATATTATAGGCCGGGTATGAGTTTCATGCCATAATCCCAGCACTTAGGAAGGTGGAAAAGGGAAGATGGATTGAGCTCAGGAGTTTGAGACCAGCCTGGGCAACACAGGGAGATCTCATTTCTACTTTAAAAATTGGGGGTGGGGGGGGGTGGGGAGGGGCCGGGTGCGGTGGCTCATGCTTGTAATCTTTGGGAGGCCGAGGCAGGTGGATCATGAGGTTAAAAGATCGAGACCATCCTGGCCAACATGGCGAAACCTCGTCTCTACTAAAAATACAGAAATTAGCCAGGCATGGTGGAATGCACCTGTAGTCCCAGCTACTCGGGAGGCTGAGGCAGGAGAATTGCTTGAACCCAGGAGGCAGAGGTTGCGCTGAGCTGAGATCGCGCCAGTGCACTCCAGCCTGGGTGACAGAGCGACTCTGTCTCAAAACAAAAAACAAACAACAACAAAAAAATAAAAATTAGCCAGGTGTGGTGGTCTGCACCTGTAGTCCCAGCTACTCGGGAGGCTGAGGAGAGAGGATCATTTGAGCCCAGGAGATGGAGGCCGCCCTGAGCTATAATAGCACCACTGCACTGTAGCCCAGGCAACGGAGGGAGCCCCTGCCTCAAAACAGAAAAACAAAAACCCGCATTATAATCACCAGAGATAAAAAGTCAACAAAACAATGAAATGGAAATCCTGACGTTATTATATTAACAAAAAAAAGGCATGAGAGACAGAAGAATGACATAGAATACAGAGAGAAAACAGACCCATATACTAACAACAACACGAAACTCAAAAACCCGCGTTAAGCGAAAAAAGCCAAACCCAAAAGAGTACACGCTGTACGGATTCTACGAATTAAAAAAGCCTCAGAACAGTCAACACTAACCCATGGTGATGGAAATCACAACAGTAGTTTCTTACAAGAGGTGGGGACTGCCTGGGAAAAGGCACACAACTTTCAGGAGGGACAGGAATGTGTATATATTTATTGAGGTGATGGCCAACGTAGAGTGCCCGTTTATCAAAACTCATAGAACTGTGCAATTAAAATGTGTGCATGTCATTTTCTGTATATACATTTTACACAAACGTCAATGTTTGAGAGCGGATTAAAAACTCTTGAAGAGCCTCCGGTTATAAACTTTGATCAACAGAGGGCGCTCGGAGCCCGTCAAACACGCTTTGGGCCCCCAGCTTAGAGATGCAAATCAGACCAGCTCGGGGCTCCTAGTCTCCAAGGTGGATCGCGCGACTCCCCTACACTCCCCCTCGACACCCCACCTTCCCCACCCGCGGCCTCGCCGGCTGGTCCGTATCATCTGGCCACACGCCACGCGTGGCCAATGGCGAAGATGGGTCCGCGGTACCTCGGCTGAATGCAGATGCGGGTGGGAGCGGGCGCGCGCTGCCTGGAGGCCTACCTGCCCCCTAAGGTCTCCTACGGTACGATCTTTTACCCTGGAAGTGGAAACGTCATGGAAACTTCCACTCCGTTCTCGACGTCTTCATTTTGACCTTTTTACCTCGGTTTGGTGGCTGAAGAATATTTCCACGCAAGAGCTGGCGCAGGGGAGGAGGGGGCAGAGCCCGGGAGGCACCGAAGAAATTTTCCCGGAGAAAGGCAGAGTGGGGGCGTTGCCCCAGGCTCCCAGAACCCCGAACCTTTGTCTTCCTGCCCCCTCCGGCCTCGTCCCAGCTCCAGAGAAAGCCAGCGACCAGAAATCCCTAAGCGTCCCTTGCGCCCTCGCCCACCCCCCGGCTGGGTCTCCCCGCGGGCGCGCAGATGCCATTACACCCCACGTGATCCCCGCGCCGGGCCGGTCCTTCCAGAGGCATCGCGCGGGGTGTTAATTAAAGGTCACAACAAAACAGACCTGCTGGCTCACCAGAAGAAATGTCCTCCCGGGAAATGAAAAATGACACCCAGAGCAGCCACGTGTGGAGCCTGGCAAACGCCGGCTTCCAGCGCTCCTGGGCGCTGCGCTGGGGGGATTGTAGGGGGCGATCCGAGAGGGAGCGAGGACGGGGTGCTCCGGAGACCCCGCGAGGCCCAGGCGCAGGAAGAAACGGGCGGCGGGGTCGACGGGACCGATCCCCCGCCAGGAGAGGCCAAGGCCAGCCCGCGCCACACCCCCTCTCCAGGCCGGAGTCGTCCGCTTGCTGCGCGGCGAACCCCCGTTTCCCTTGCCCAGCAGCGGCCCGCTGGGTCCCCAGGCTCACCTGTCCCGACCCCGGGCGGCTTAGTCCATACAGACTAGGGCTCGGGCGGGCGGGGGGCGGAGGCCCCTAGTGCTCCGGCTGCGTCGGGGAGGGTGGCCCCCGGCCCCCTGGGGTTGGCAGGGCAATTCCAGAAAAGGTTTGCAGGGCAGGTCTCCGAGAACAAAGGGCGGGGGGAGGACCCGGCGTGTTTGTGGACTTGTGACTCAATCCCTTTCACACGGCGTTTCAAAGACAGACCTGCAAGCCTTGTCAGGAAGAGAAAGAACTTGGGGGCGGGGGAGGCTCGGGCGCCGCGTTTCCGTCCCGCCGCGCTCGCTCGCGCTGCCCCTGAGCTCCACGCTCGCGCAGCGGCGTTTCATTAGAGACCCGGGCCCGGGCCGCGCGCCTGGAACTTCCCCACCCGGAGCGGGACTGACGCTTCCCCGCGCCCCGCCCCGGCCCGGCTCCGGGCCTCGCAATGTCGGGCAGGAGCGCCGCAGCCTAAAATGGATCCCGGCCGGCGCGGCGAGGGCGGCAGGCAGGCGGCGGGCTCCGGGTCCCCGAGGCTCCGCTCTGCGCCCGGGCGCACACGCGCACCCTGACCGCCGGCCGCTCCCGGGCCACGCGGAGCCGCCCCTCTCCCTGCCCTCGCGCAACTGTCAGGCGAAACGGGCCAGCGGATATTGGCTCGGCGACACGCTGAGGCTCCTCCCCGAGTCTGGATCTTTATATTTTGGGAGAATTTCTTTGAACTCAGTTAGCAAGCTCGGGGAAGGAGGCAAGTTCCCGCAGCCGGCTTGGCTCGGCTCGGAGGGCTCGCCCACCCTCCTGCAGCTGCCGCGTGCCCTGATCGTGTCCCTCTCCTCCCTCGTGGGGGGAACGGACCGACTTGGCTGCAGAAAATGCCAATTATATGGATGTGACCGTGAAAAGGGAACGTGCGACTGCAAGAGGCAGAAGGGGACGAGGAAAAGCATTATTTGAAGAGAAGAATAAACCAGCTACCCCGACCCTTTCTGCAAATTGGTGCTATTTCTTGTGGGGTCCATTTGCTTTCATTCCCTCCCAACCCACCCTTTAAGAAACCCTGACTTGAGGGCTAAGAGCCAGCCGCCTGCAGCCGGGAGACGCTTCTGGGCTGGAAGACCTTCTGGATGTAGCGTTGGTGGAACCTTTAGCTACTCTCCTCTGCAAAAGCCACCATGAATTCAGTCGCTGGGAATAAAGAGAGGCTTGCCGTCTCCAGCAGGGGCAAGAAATACGGGGTAAGTCGTGACGGTACGACGCGGAGACGCGTGACCAGACCCATCTCCGTAGGGGTCCCCCTTTTCCCGGGATTGTGCACCCCGGCAGGGCGGCGCGGCCCCGAGCTCTCTCCCGCTGCAGAGGCGCCCCAGCGGCCGGCGGGGCTGTGCGTGCACGGAGGCGGGTCTGCCGCGGGGGCGCCCGCACACTCGCCTCGCCCTCGGAATGTTTCCAGCCCTCTCGTTCCGTCCTTGCCCCGCACCCGCAACTTCTGCAGCATTCCTGCACTTCTAGGCAGAGTTAAGCCGAAGGGATGGGTTCCCCGTGAACGCTTGGCGGGACCTCGGATCGTTTAGCTGGAGCGGGAGGAGCCTCTCATTTACCTGCAGGATCCGCAGGGTGGTACCCCGTATGAATAAAAATCCTGAAATCGCGGCCCCCGCCCCCCATAGGGTCTTCCAGGATTTCGTACCTGGGTTTTTGCTGGGATGGGTGACGGCTTCAAAAGCGTGGGGCGCTGAACCTATGGGCCCCCCTGGCAGAAGCCGTGGAACCCCCCCCACCCCGAGCGAGCCCTCTTCCTGACCCCAGGAGGAGGCCACCGGCGCCCGGGAACCGGCTCAGGGGTCGCCCGGGCGGTAGGGACTCACTTGGGGACAATTAACGAGACAGAGGGAGGGCGATGTGGCCGCAGGGCTTGGCGAGGTCCCCAAGCGGCTCCTTTGGGCGGTTGGAGCGGGGACTCGGTGGCGCTACCCAGTTGGCGGGAGGGCGCCCCAGCCCGCGGGGCCCGGCCCCTGGGCGCTGGAACCCGCCGCCTTGCGGCGCCTGACCCCGGCGCGTCCTCCCCGCAGGTGAATGAAGTCGGCTCGCCCACCAAGCCCGCAGCGCCCTTCTCCCCCGAGAGCTGGTACCGGAAAGCCTATGAGGAGTCGCGCGCCGGGAGCCGGCCCACTCCCGAGGGTGCGGGCTCCGCGCTGGGCTCATCGGGGACCCCGTCCCCGGGCTCGGGCACCTCGTCCCCGAGCTCCTTCACCGGTTCCCCGGGCCCCGCCTCCCCGGGCATCGGCACGAGTTCTCCGGGCTCCCTGGGCGGCTCGCCAGGCTTCGGCACTGGCTCTCCGGGCTCCGGCAGCGGCGGCGGCTCCTCCCCCGGCTCGGACCGCGGCGTCTGGTGCGAGAACTGCAACGCCCGCCTGGTGGAGCTCAAGAGGCAGGCCCTGAAGCTGCTCCTCCCGGGGCCCTTCCCCGGCAAGGTGAGCGCGGCGCGGGCCGGGCCGGGCCGGGAGGGCGGCCCCGGGGCTGGGGAGGCGCCGGGAGGGCCGGGCCGCGGCCGACAGCAGCTGCTCAGCCCAACGCGACCCTGCGCCCCGGCTCCACGCGAGGGCCCCCGGCGTCGCGGGGGCTGCTCCACACCCCAGGGGGTTCCGGCGCGCGGGGCGACCCCCGCACCTTCCTTCCTCAGCCAGGCCGCCCTGGCGCTGGAGGGCCGAATCCCGAGAGCGCGAAAGAGCGCCCGTGGCCACAGGCATCACTGCCCACGCGGGGAGGGTCCGGGTGGTCTCTGCTGCTGCCCCTCCCAGCTCTCCCTCGCGACTGCAGACTGCGCTTTCGATTTTCCTCCCCACCCCCACCTGTGATCCTTGACAAAAACGTGAGTGGGAGCTGGAAAAGCAAGCTGATGCTTGGAGCTGGCGTGTCCCACTGCGTGTTGTGGTCCCTCCCTTCCAGGATTGCAGAAACAGAAACATACTGGAAAGCCAGCATTCTCCCCTGCAGTGCGTGTGTGCGCCTGGGGACGATCCAGAGGTGGGTCGCTCCTCGGAGCAGTGCTCCCTCCTGTCCTGCTCCTCGCCAAGCACCGTCGCTCCTCCATAGCAACCCTGCGCGGTGTGTGACTGGCCCGAGCCCCCAGAGGGTAACACAATGCAATTGTATTTGCACTGTCGGGTTCGTACTATCAAATGGTAATATTTACTCTTCCACTTCAAAGAGTTTTTATCAGTGGTTAGAGAGCAATATCAAGGAAACAGAGTGGATTGCTGCAGAGGTTTCTGACACTGTTGGCTCAGTGGCCATTTCTGGTTTCTATTTCCGTGACTTTAGAAATAAAATCTTGTGATTTCGAGTAGTGGTGTTCAGGCATAACTGCGTCTGCTGGCCTCCAATGCATATGCAAATACCCACGTTGATGTTTTCATAGGCAAGGATTAAATGAAACAAATGCCCACAGACGTTGTGAAATTTAAAATGGGGAAAACTACCACTGGGAGAATTGGTTTTGTGAATGCACAACTAACTTATCTGGAGAAGAATGAGCTCGTGGATGGTTGCCCGTGTACCGTTTTTGTAGCTTGATAAATCTGCCATGACATCCCAAGGATAAATCTCAGGGAATCAAAAAGCTTATTTCTCTCTTGCGTGCTAGACCTTCCGATTTGACACCATTTCTTCACTCAGATTTATTTGCTCTCGTGATCCTTCATCAATATTCATTGATTTTTCTCCCCGATCCGAGGCACTGTGTGAGGAACAGCAATAAGTGCCAGGTCCATGCCTACAGCCCTTGTCCACGTGGAGCTGATGTTCTAGTGGAGGAGGCAGAGATGGACCACAGCATGCATAAGTTCACAATGTGTTCACATTTGTGGAGGGGACGTAGCCTGCTGTGAGGTTGTTGAACTGGATGGGAGCATCTGATAAAGGTGGAAGGACCTTGGTTCTTAAAGAGCTAACAGCTGATACTTGGCAGTCCTAATACGTTGCAGCCTTCCACATTATTTTAGAGCTTTCTGAAGGACTCATTCTTACTATAATAGGCTTTTTGTGGCATTGAGTGTTCCTAGATGCAAAGGTAAATCAAAATACACTGTTCTCAGTAAGAAAAAGAGAAGGGGAAGGAAAAACTATAGGAAAAAGATACAAATGTTGAAACTCATATGCATCCATCGTGTTTTATGGAGTCTTGTGGTCAGCTGGGATTGTGTTTTTGTAGAAACAGCCTGGAACATTCACTCAGTGTTATGCGAGGCAGCTCAATATATTTGCCTGTTTTATGTATGTGATGAGGTAAAACTCTTGTTGGTAAACTGCTTGTATTGTCAGAGCGAGGTGACAGCTCTGGAAGAAACATTGGATTTGCTGAACTCCCATCTCTACAGTGATTTGGACATCTAGAGAAGAGCTGGGAGTCATGGGATCACTTCAAGTGCATACGTGAATGCCACACAGTACCACAGTTGCCTAAGTTTTATGTGTGAAGCAGCACAGTAAAGCGTGGCATTTGGTACAAGAGCATATACAGGGCTCAGCCAGAAAGAAGGATGCTTTGCCTCAGCTCCTTGTTAGTAATGAGGTTTGGGGCCATCAATTTTAATTAGGAAAATTTCGGCAAGTCTTTGTGAATAACTGTGTGTGTGTGTGTGTGTGTGTGTGTGTTTAGGGCATTTGTACCTTGCAATTAGGTACAATTTCCTAAACACTAAATACTTTTAGTGTTTGCAACATTGTAGCCAAACAGTTGCCATGTTCACTGGTGCACCGTGGATGGAGGTCATATAACTTGGACGAGGCTTTTCTTCTTCCGGAGTAAAATTAATGAACAAAACTGTGGACCACTGTAGCCCTCAGGCACAGAAGGAGTTCAGTTTCATTAGAACAAGAGACTCCAACATGCAGTTCGCTCTGAAGAGAGTCTGGAAGATCAAGACATGTTTTTGAAGGGTAATTAACAAAAGTCATCTTTGTAATTTGCTTAAGATGCTTACCTGTATTTGGGAACTATTTTCTTAAACAGAGTGTTAAATTCTGCTAGGTGGTATTAAATGACTCCTAGGTAGGTATTTAAAAGTCAGAAGCAGAATAGCACATCCAGGAACTTTATTGTTTTAGAATGGATTTGGTTTTAGTTCTTCCTTTATCACTGATTTATTTTGTGACGTTCCTACTTTTTAAGTTTCCTATTAATATGCCAAGGACAAAATGATTCAGAATGTTCAAATGTCATTAAAACGATATAAGGTAAGGTTTGAAGAGTGCTTTCTTTCTTTCTTTCTTTTTTTTTTTGAGACGGAGTTTCGCTCTTGTTACCCAGGCTGTAGTGCAATGGAGTGATCTCGGCTCACCGCAACCTCTGCTTCCTGGGTTCAGGCAGTTCTCCTGCCTCAGCCTCCTGAGTAGCTGGGATTATAGGCATGCACCACCGTGCCCAGCTAATTTTTTGCATTTTTAGTAGAGACGGGGTTTCACCAAATTGACCAGGATGGTCTCGATCTCTTGACCTCGTGATCCACCCGCCTCGGCCTCCCAAAGTGCTGGGATTACAGGCTTGGCCACCGCGCCTGGCCAAGTGCTTTCTTTCTTTAGAGAGAGATGTGAAGGTTGATGGTTATTAATTAGCTAAGATTCTTTCTTTACTTTTCCCTCCCTTCTTTGCTTCCTTCTTTTCTGATGGGATTTCACTCTTGTTGTCCAGGCTGGAGTGCAGTGGTGTGATCTTAGCTCACCGCCTCCTCCCAGGTTCAAGTGATTCTCCTGCCTCAGCCTCCCCAGTAGCTGGGATTACAGGCATGCGCCACCACACCTGGCTAACTGTATTTTTCGTAGAGACAGGGTTTCTCTATGTTGGTCAGGGTGGTCTCAAACTCCTGACCTCAGGTGATCCCCCCGCCTCGGCCTCCCAAAGTGCTGGGATCACAGCCATGAGCCACTGCACCCAGCCCGTTTTTCTTTCAAGGTATTACCCCTGTCAGTTTGTAACTTCATCTGTATGTTTTCTAAATATGCTGCCGTGTGAGTTCTCACACTGCCTGTAGGTGGGTAACCAGCTCTGTTGAATGCCCCCAGTTTTGTCTTTGGAACAGTGGGTTAAGGAGGGGAGGTGAAGGACTAGAGAGCCCATGCAGGTGTATTCGATTGGTCCCAGGAGCTGGTGACTGGCTCTGATGGCCTGAGAAGAATCAGCCTATTCTGAGCACTCCCCCAGAGGGTAGGGCTTCATGGTGGAAGATGACATGATTTGGGTATAACTGAGTAGGTGGTGATAGTGTTGGCTGAGGTAAGAAGTAGGAGGAGACATGGAATTGGAAGGAGCTCAGAGAGAAGGATGATAGTGAGTTTGGTTTTCCATGCGTCGAGTCTGAGCTTTCTGGAAAGAGCTGGAGCGTGGAGGCAGATTTAATAATAAAACAGTTTGTTGTTGGCTATTTCAAGACCGGCGTGTGGAGGTGACAGCCATGAGCTAGCATAGCTCTGTTGCTGATATGCTGGGTTTCATCCTTTCCAATAGCAGCTTACCTGGTGAGTAGAAGCTTGTGCTTAGTGGCAGATTGTAAAACACTCAGGTTGACTTTTATTACCTGGATTGGTACGAAAAGTACTTACTGGGTTTGTATCATCTCTCTTTTGGTACTAGTGAGTGGAAGTGGTCAGATAAAAGAATGTGGATGTGTAAAGTGTTGTGATTTTATGTGAGAATGGCCCTTTTACCCACTGTACTTTTCCAGTGTGTAAATACAAAACCATTCCATGTCCCATGGCAAGAGTGTCTTTCCTGTTTTATAGACAGTCAAGGCACTGGGCCAGAAATAGGGGCCAAGGAACGAATCGCTGGATCTGGGGCTAGCCTAGATCATTCTGATATCCATGACAGAACTTCTGAATGGACTGGGCAGGCCTCACAAAACATCAGCCTGCCGGAATTCCCCGGAGTAAGCGGAAAAGCTCCAGGTTGACGAAAGTTTATCAGACATCTGTTCATTTCCATATCAATAAAAGAAAATATTCTTTTATGTAAAAAAAAAAAAAAGTACAGAACTATATTCCTATCTGATTGTTTCCCAGTCAGATATTCTGAGTCCATTTATGCCCCAGAAATATCAGGAAGATTAGCCAGACATACTGAGAAGCATGGCCAGGAATCACAGTGATGAGAGAAAGGAGGCGTCACAGGGGTTAAAAACGCCAAAAGTGGACTTGAAATAGCCGGAGACCAAGTGAGTCTAGACTTGCGGAGATATAGATATCCCACGCGCATTTCTGTATTCTGCCAGCTCCAAAAGAAGGGTATGAAAAAATAACTAGACTCAAAACGTCCCCCAAAAGCCATCATAAAACATTTTATAGAGAGGATAAAACAGACATTGCATGTCAAGTACTTATTAATTATAAGGGACTTCTAGCTGAAATCTCCTTTCTTCTACAAACATGTGGCTGTTTTCAAAAAGCTTCATTTGAGTCTTTCTCATATAAGAATTATTTTAGATAAAGGAGCAGTTAATAGATAATAGCACTCATGAAAAAGGCCTGCAGCATTTATCATTAAAAAATTTCTAAAACATTTTGGGAGTTTATAAAAACATTCCCAGTAGAGACATGTGAGCAGGAATCTTTTTAAGGCTCAGCAAGCTGTGGAATAATGGCCCTTCATTCTACCAGACTATTAATTGTGAAGCAACATGGTCAGTTTTTATAGTGACTTAATTCACTTTGCAAAAATCCCTGGCCTGCAATAATTCCTTCCACACCCACTGCAGATAGGATTAGTACATTAGAAATGTGATTTTTAAATGGCTGAGGCTAATAGTTCATCAGCATTTGGAAGGATTAAGTCACTTAAAGTTTAGGCAACATGGGTTGCGCTTTGGCATTGGACCACAGATGGTACCATTCCTGGGCTAACACTAGTGCTCACAGCGATAGTAATGATGGGGACAGTAAACGGCTGACAGCTACTGTCCTGCATACCAGGAACTGTACTGAAACACACTCACACGCTATCTCATAATAAAATGAAGATGAATGTGAGTTTTTTTTTAACCTTGGAATTCCAAGTGCTTGATGTGGTTAAGATCACAGACGGAAGTATGAGGAAAAAAGTATGCAAGGGACGGAGGAATCCAATCACACTTGCCCCTAAATGCTGTTGAGGGTCGCTGTGAGTAGAACTGACTGAGTGAGAGGCACCGGCTGGAGATGGTTATTATATTCCCAGGCTCGCAGAAGGGGATTTTACTTTTGGTGAGCGGGGAGGCTGGGGGGAAGTATGTGAGCCTGTCAGGTTCTGAGGTGAGTAATTTTCTTGGCTGGACCGCAAGGGGTCGGGGAAGGAACCTCCTTATATTTACACACACTCAGTGGAGACACTGTTCTCATCCCTTCCTGAACGGAAACCCTGCCCGAGGACCCTGTCCAGGGCCCCGTCCTGACCTTTGGTGACTGTCACGCCCAGCTAAGTTTTGCATTTTTTTTAGTAGAGACGGGGTTTCACCATCTTGGCAAGGGTGGTCTTGATCTCTTGATCTCATGATCCACCCTCCCAAAGTGCTGGGATTACAGGCGTGATCCACTGTGCCTGGCCAGTTTTTCTCCTTAGATTTGTTAATATTGTGAGTTATTATTATTGATTTCTAATAGTGAACCATCCTTGTATTCCAATAATAAACCGCACTAGTCCACAATGCATTTTTAAAAAATATGCTTCTGGATCCAATTTGCCCATATTTCATGTATTGTTTCTGCCTTGATATTAAACATTTTTGATTACGGTTTATGTGCCAGCTGGAGTACTATGCCATATAATAATGAAAATAGGACAAAGACTAAACTTCCTGCTCTGCAGCAGCTCCCAGTGTAGTGTTAGTGTCAGACAAGGAAGGCAGTGAAGCACAGGCATTCCGGCCACAGGCAGCGGCAGGCGCAGGGATGCCGGCGTGGTGATGCCAGGACAGTCGTACGCTGTCATCACACGCAGTGTGCGCATGAGCGCGCGACCGGCTGGAAAGGAAGGATGCCAGTTGAGGATGAAGGATCTTGCAGGGTAGCGTCTGGACTTGATCCTGTAAGGCCGTGGGCAGCCACTGGGGGCATGCAGGAAGGGAGTGAAATGATCAGATAGGTATGTAAGAGAGATTGCTGTGAGAACAAGCAAGAAGATGGGTTGGAAGCGTGGTGTTGCCGAGACCAGTCGGGAGGCCCCTGCAGTGGCTTGAGTGAAAAATCACATAGACTGAAGCGGGAGGGCAGCAGAGAGGGAAGGGAGCAGCTTGGAACTGATGGATTCATATGGGGAAAGCTGGTGATGGGCAGCTGCTGAGATGTGGGGCTGTAGGGAGACCAGAGGAGGCATTCTCCCAGATTTCCGGCCAGGTAAGGTGTGGGTGGTGGTGCCATGTATGCAGAAGAAGAATGCAGGCAGAGAAGGGTTTTGTTGTTGTGAGCCCAGTGTTCGAGGGGGCTGTGGATTTTGAATTGACTGGGGTCTCCAGAGCCTGAGGAGGAATGGTCCATGGGCTCCTGTTGGGGCTCTAGAGTGGATTCAGAGGAGGAGACATGGAGCTGGGAGATGTCAGTGTGAAGAAGGTGCTGGAATGCACGGATGGCATGAGCTCTCCACAGGTGTGTGGGTGAGACGACAGACAGCTGAGCATGAACTGGTAGCACACATTGACACTGAAGGGACCAGTGGCCTGAGGAGCCAACAAGACAGACCAAGAAGGAGGGACCAGAAAAGAGGAAGGAAAAACTAGGAGAAGGCAGTGTCATGGGAGCTGAGGATGGCGTGAGCTTCAGGGGATAGGGGTGACAAAAGGTCTGATACCCTGGAGAGGTCAAGGAAGTAAGGACTGAGGTTTCTGTTGAACTGGCAAGGAGGAGGTCATTGGGTGTCTTTTTTGGAAGAATTTCTGGTTCCCTGGGAGAGACAGACAATGCCACTGTGTCTGGGAATAGACTGTGAGGTGAGGACATCTGAGGCAGCATTTGAGTTGCTGAGGACACTGAGTTACAAGAGATCCACTTTTTGAGTCTCTTATTATCTTAAAATGAAAAGCTGGAATCAGCAGACTTGCGTGCAAAACCAGGCTCCGTCACTTAGTGTGTGACTTGGCCAGCCTTGATCTTTCTTTCTTTCTTTCTTTTTTTTTTTTTTTTTTTGAGACGGAGTTTCGCTCCGGTTACCCAGGCTGGAGTGCAATGGCGCGATATCGGCTCACTGCAACCTCTGCCTCCTGGGTTCAGGCAATTCTCCTGCCTCAGCCTCCTGAGTAGCTGGAATTACAGGCACGCGCCACCATGCTCAGCTAATTTTTTTTGTATTTTTAGTAGAGACGGGGTTTCACCATGTTGACCAGGATGGTCTTGATCTCTTGACCTTGTGATCCACCCGCCTCGGCCTCCCAAGGTGCTGGGATTACAGGCGTGAGCCACCGCGCCTGGCCAGCCTTGGTCTTTCTAAACCTGGTTATCGTCACCTCCGCAGTGGGAGTATGACACGGCCCCACCTGGGATTGTGAAGATTGGATGAAACTGTGAGATGACATTCAGCCTCGCTTTCTGTTATGATTCCAACGACTTTCCACAGGAAGTTAATTTTATAAAAGCTTCCTACCCTCCTTCCTTCCTTCCTTCCTTCCCTCTTTCCTTCCTTTTTTCCCTCCTTCCACCTGACACCACAATGGAGAAGCAGCAGTTAGGAAAATTAGAGCATTTGCCACCTCTTCCTTTCTCTTCAGCTGCAGGTGGATAAAGCACTCATGTACTTATTCATTCGTGGAGTTGTTTCCACGGAAAGTTGAAGGGAGCTCAGTTGATGTAAACAGATTCCTTTGGGCTGAGGTGCCATGAATATGGACCGAGGCCTTTTGGGTCACAGATGGAAATCCCGTCTTTCAGCTCGGCCCCTCTCAGAGCCCCTCCAGGGAGCCTTGCAGATGTGGCATTTGACATTTCGGCCCCGGGAATGAGGGAAAGCAGATTTCCTCCAGCGACTGCGCATGCGTGCGATGTGCAGGTCGGAGCCGCAGCAGGAATTTGGGGTATCTGCCTTCCAATCCGCTTTATCTTTCTCAGACGGGTTTCTTTGCTGATCCTGTCACAGCGATTCCAGCCAGACCCCGTGGAGAAGTCTGGAAATAAAGAAGTCGCCCTCCCCCACCAGGCAGGATTTCCTGCACATGCATCAGCTCTCAGGCTGGGGCTGACCATGGAAGACAGAGACCCTGTGAGCTCTAATGCGAAAAACTGAGCTATTCCCAACGCTGCCCGGAGGTCCGCATAGCAGAAGGCTCTAAGGGGAGAATAAGCAGAACTATAAATATATCCTGTGTCATACACCAGGTTACAGCTGAGGGACTATTTTTATTTACCTTTTCTACTTGTTGGAGTTTAAGTTCAATACTGTTGCCAACCAGGAAAAGTTTATTGGGAAAAATTTTCTCTCTCCACACAGCACAGTTCTAAAATCTTGGATGATTCTTACATGTGAACTTTCTTATATTGAATTTTCTTTTTGTTTGAAAGCA